ATGGGATTTTCCTTTTATTTCACCAAACCAAAAATGGATTACTTGCGCGTGTATATGCGATGAGCTCACACTTCAAAGAGCTTTTATAATTTTCACTTATCTTTCATTCTCTCACTCTCACTCTCTGTACCACTTTGTGCCGAATCCGAATCCGAATCGGTTGAAGGAAAAAAGCACACTGATTGAATTTATAAACGGAATTGGTGCCACTTTTTTTCCATTTCGAAACGTTTCTGATATCAGTTCCTTTTAATTCGTTATAATCAACTTTAGCTGTTACGATTGTGTGCACCAGCAGAGCAAGCATAACGATATCGAGTTCGTATCTTATTTCCGTTTTTTTTACGCTCGAAGAGTAACAAAAAAAAACACCGTGGCAATCATTTTTGGGCTCATTGTGACAATACAACGAATTTGTCGAAGAAAAAGATTAAACAAAATTCACTCTCGGTGCAATTTCTAAAGCAGAAAGAAAGGAAACGTATTTTTTCTTGCAAGGAAAACGTCGACGACAAATATTTTTTGTCGAAGAAACGGGTAGCGCTCGCACACACACACGCACACTCAGCCATACAAACAAATTGGAATCTAGAGCATCTTACGAAATGGTAAAGAAAATCGGTTGGTAAACACACGGTTAAATAGTACGATGATTATGATGCCTATGGGCTATCAAAAAGAAAGGGATTTATTGCGATAGAAAGTGAAGAAGAGAGAAAGCGGGAGATAGAGAGAAAAAGCAACCAAACGACATTTTCGTCAATGATCTAAACAAAAGAAAATAGCGCAAGATGCCGAAAAACGACGGAACGCACGACTGTGAAGAAGAAAAAGTCCCAAGAAACAGGAAAATCAGAGCGACTAATAAAAATGAAGAAGCAAATTTGCCTACGGCCATTAGATTCTCTACTGAACAGCATCAGGATCGGTAACACACACACGTACACACATTCACCGCATACACATACTCATTCCGATGGAAAAATGCTTGTTTCGGTACATTGACATGTGTACGACTTCTTTTTCGGCGTTGTCATTCATGCAATATGTGGTTGAATTGCTGTGACCAGAAGCCAAGACAAAAAGCACATTGCTCAAGACAAATATTCCGTAGACGATAGCCAAAAAAAAAACGAGGAGAGTGAGTGAGAGCTCAAGAACAACAAAAAACATCACTGCAAAATGATTTGCTCATTCACCGGCTAGAACAATCGCTACTGAACAAACAAAAACCGTACCAAAAAAAAGTACTCACACACAGCAACGGGACGGGAACAATGGCAAATTTCCAAAATATCAAAAATAAAACGGAAAATTTATTTCATTTCGCTTTGTCTATTTTCTACCTTGTTTTGTCAAAGTAAACACACAGCATCGCTCTGGCAAAGTATACCGGTGGCGGCATCGTCTCAGGTCTTTTGTTGTGACAAGAGAGAGAAACGATTTTCGCTTGTATTTATACACTTGTATATTCATAGCCATCTCGTTGTGCAAACGACCATCGTGAGTGCGATATGCCACGGATCTCTTTTTCCTTTTCGTCTTATTCTGTCGGCTTTTTGCGAATGTGGGAGGGAACGAGATGGAAGGAGACAGAAAAAATATTTACCGCTTAAAATTTGAGCGTCGCATTTACGACATTTTGATTTGCTTATTTTGCTTGCTGCACCAAAAGAGAAATGCCCCGTTCTTCGCCGTTGTTGACAACAATTCGAGGATATCGAGAGACACACATACACGTGTTGTGCGCTCTGCAAAAAGCGATGAAAACGAGGGACGAGGAAAATTCATATCGCCGCGCGTTCACTCACTGAATAAACTGCTTTTTCATACACGGCCATTCTTCTTTTTTTTCGGCCTGTCGTTGTTGTTTTTCCAAGGGGGGTTACTTTTCCACGAAATCTCTTCTATTCTTCTTTTGCATAGCAGCGCTAGGTAGTAGTTTTTCCTTCTTTGCGTAGCATTATTTATCGGGCGAATGGTCGAAAATTCGTTCCGAACAAAACGCTTTATCAACGCGATGCCAGTACACTCTCTCGCTCACACCCACCCCCACAAGAACCATTTTTTGAATAGAGAATGCGAGTGAACACCATAAAAAAATGAATAATCTAAAGAAATGAGAATTGCTCCCTTCATCAAGTTTGGCACACAAAACGTGTATTTTTCATTCTGTTCTTAGCATTTTCAGCAGGCGAGAGCATTGCCAAACAAAAGTAGAAAACAAGACAAAGAACACTGGAGAAAAGATAAAAGCATCGAAAGAGAGCGAGCGAGCGAGCGAGTGAACGGGAGCGTGCTCCTTTTTGTTGTTGCTTAACATTTTTATTCATGAGTCAAATTCCGACTCGAGAGAGAGTGAGAGAAAAATTGTATTTTTAAGTCGATCGTTCATTGTCATTCAATTTTCAAAACGCATCACAGAAAAATAAAGCAAATGTATTGAGTCAATCATTGCCGAGGAATGTATGTAACTCTCATGTGGGATTTGTGCGAGTGTGGAATTGAATCAGCGCGATAAAATATTCAATGACAACATACATAACTCCCGAAACCCTATCTATCATATACGTACACATATATGTGTATTTACTTATCGCATACACTGAGGCGATGTGGTTTATACTCACTGCACTGCACCGAGCACTGCACTTGCATCTTTCTTGTGGGTGCATTCTCTTGCTCTTGACTTTTCCCATGCACACACTGAGTTTACTATTATATTTTTCAAAATTGTTTATAAACAACGTCCATTGAAATAGTTTATTTTCGTTTCCTCTCTCTTTGCGTCCTCCGCTGCATGTTTTGTGAGATTGTACGAAAGACATTTCCTATTGATTTACAAATCGATTGTTGTTTTATGCGTGCGAGTTTTGCTCGCAGTTCTCTGAAACTTCTTTCTCCACAATGGGGACAACACTCGCTGGAATTCCCTTTGGAAAATGATTACGTGAACTCTTCAATGCCGTTGGTCGCGGTCGATTGTACGGTTGTCAAATTTTCATTCCAAACATGAGAATTGAGACATTTCCGGTGGCAACAAAAGAGCTACCGAATTAAAAATAGCCCTCCGGAAAACATGACAAAACTTTTCAAACGGATTTATTTTCGAAATCGAAGCACAATTTCTCATTTTAAAACCAATCGACTGAGATTCATTTGTGGTCGGAGATTTTAGAAGGAGAAAAAAAACGCTGATCGATTATTTGTTCCAAACAAGAGTTTTTCCGATTAAATATTTAAGATTTGATCCTGTGCTGGTTCACTATTCTAATGAATCCATCCAATCTAATGAGAAAGTCGTCAAAAAAACGTATACACAATTTTGAATCGAAATTGATGATGGAATTATTGCCATCACATTTCAAGAATTGAGAACAGTTTGCCTCGAAGCATAAAATTTTGTGTTTTTTGTTTAAAGAATGAATGGGAGAAAGAAGACGCGGAAGGGAGGCGAGGTCAACCGAAAAAAAAAATTGACTGTTTGAGAGAGATGTGAGTGTTTGCAGGAACTTATCATTATGTTTCTAATACGTATTCATAATTCATATGGACTGGCTTTTTCCGTTCTGGCATTTTATATAATGGGCCGGGTAATAACAGAGCATAGCTGCGAGGTGAAGCCATCAATTCCATTGAATATATTTATACAAAGTTGAGAAGTCTTCTCGAATTGAAAATAACAACAACAAAACGAAAATCGTATCGTACTGAACTGAATAAATGAAATTCCAAAACGCAGACGCGCATCAAATGTAGTATTTTTTTTCATTCTCATTCTTTTCTGTCTCTATTTAAAGAGAGCACGGCAAATCTTCTGAAACAAATACAACAAACACTCATGCGCGCAATAGCTAAGCCGTCGAATCGAATTCGGTCGGGAGGATTTCGTGTATGACGTTGTTGTATGTGTGTGTGTTTTTTTTTATTATTTGAGTGTACATTTGATTGTTACCGTTATTATTGTTATTATCGTTTGGAATTATTTCGTTTCGAGCTCAATAGTCCGGGATAGAGAATGAAAGGAAGAGAGGGATATACATAGAGAGAAGAAATAGAATGAACACATTTTATTATAGCCGTTGAACTACGCCACAACGAATTTCTTTTAATTTAAATGGATAATAAAAGTGAACAACGACGATATGACGGTCGGTCTATATATATATATATAGTTGCACCTATTAAGTGGTTTTGCCATTCATTCATAGTTTGTCCAGGCGACCTTTCACATACAGCAAAACCTAATCATGTTGATTAAAAACGATATAAGATATAAAAAAAAAATCATAAAGGCGAGCGAATAGCGAAATTGCGTGAAAATCAATTTAATTCGTCACACCAGTCGTCATCGTCGTCGGACTCTGGATGGTGGCTAAAAAACATTGGTGCGTGCGTATACAGGTAAAAATCGGATATGCAAAAAGCAAATGGCAAGTGCACGCGATAAACCGAAGAGAAAGACGACAAAAAAACAGAACGGAACAGAACACAAATCTAATCTATGGCAAATGGAAATTTTATTTCAATTCTGTCGTAGATTTTTAATACCTTCCATTAGTCATACATTAGCAACACAACACACGGTGTTCCCTGTTTTTCATTCTCTCTCTCTCTCTCTATCGATGTTTGTGCCAACGGCTCGAAAATTGTATTATTTATATTCCTATGCCATAGGATATTGTTTTGTATTAGCCGCATAAGAGTGACCACTAATTATTCCTGGATTAGTTACGTTGAAAAATATGAACCATTTGCGCCTAGTTGAAAGTGTTGAAATAACAAACTGATTGTGTGTGTGTGCAACCAGAGGGCTTGCATTTTATCCCATTATTCTTTTTGCTTATCAACCATTCGGAAATGGATTCGATGAGAATCGAATCTCTTGATCGAATCACTATCAAATCTTAGCAATTATATTCCTCGTTTGTTTTTATTCCATTTGTTTTCGATGCAATCAACTAATTTGTTCCATTTATTCTTCGTTTTTTTTTTTGCAGATGATCAACAAGTTTTGCAGCAGAAGCAGCACCGTACTTGAATAAATTGAGCGAAAAAAACGCACACAGGCCGCACAGTTGAAACATTGAATGCGTGTACGGTTTCTCGAAGAAAAAAAACAGAAAAAATAAAAAAAAAGTGCAGAAAATCAACAGAGAGTACAATCGTGTGTAATTGTCGATGCAATTCTGTTCTTTTTTTTCATTGTGTTTTTATCGCTTTTCTTTTTCGTGTATTTTGATTGTTCATCCTTCGTGTTCATTAAACGCTGGTCATTGTTTTTTCCATTGACTATTACATGCATGTGAACAAAACGTAGAGTGTAGAACGAACGAGAAAAAACAACAACACACGAAGCGAACCACAACACGAACCGAACTCAAGCAGAACCGAGAGTACTCAGAAAAAGGCACAAGGAGAATATAGTGTGTTTGTGTATATGTGTTAACAAAAAGAACAACGAAAATAACTTTGGAAGAGACACAGAACGGAGGAGGAAAGAAAAAAAAAATTCGCCGAAGAGAACTTGAAACATTCGGATAAAAAGTAACAGCGTGTAAATACTTATAGCCAGATTTAAAGCAATAAAATCGAAGAACATAATCAGCTACAATAGTGAGCTCACGCAACGCCTAACAAATATTACCAATCAACTTTTATTCTGCGTACGCTTTAAAATCAGTGAGCAAACGAAGAAAAAAAATAAACACACTTCGGTTGAAATCCATTGACAGGAATATTTGCAGTGAGCGCAAAACGAGAAGTGTCATAAGCAATTCAAATTGTGTACGTGAGTGTTGTTTTCGGGCCAAATGTGCAATCATTACCATTTTGCCATTTAAGTGCGGCAATAAAAACGAGGGGGACAAAATCGCATTTAACAAACAAAAAAGATCAATGATTTTATCATCGAATAAAAATCATCATTAAAACAGAGAAAAAAAAAGTCCTCAACACACATACACACTGAATTCAGTTCGTGCTGAAAAGCTGTTTTCAAGTTTGCAATCGACTTGAAAAATATGCGAATAAGTGAATACACCGAGAGAGAGGGAGAGAGAGACAGAGAGTGTTGTAATGACTGTTCGATTGAATAAAGAAAATTAATCCATTGTCGCGCCGAAAAGTCGAAACAACAAAGAATTCCATTAATCCGGTGTGAAAGTGGTGAAGGGGAAGAGAGAAAGAGAAGTGGCGTGTTATTGTGTTGCAATTTTAAATAGTTTTTATCCTTATGCCACTGCTTTTCCAGCTGATTACGCAGACGGCGAATCGAATAAATTCAGTGCGCCATTGAACAATTCGACTGTAATCGAATAAATCACCCGAAACAAAAAAAAACATTTTTTTTTAGCTCGGGCTCTTGTTCAACATTCGATTTTAATTTTAAAATTTCTTTTGTTCATTGAACGAAGGACGACAAGAGGCCACAAATTTACTTTGAACAATAAAAAAAGAAGAAGCAGAAACGGGCCAAAGCAAATTACACTACATCAAATACTTGAGTGTGTGTGTTCGAGTGCATTTTCAAACTCTGAGTTTTTAATGCATTCTTTTTGCTTTGGATAAAGCGAAGAAAAAACAATTGTCTGCAAATAACTGTCGTTTTGTTATTGTTGTTGTAGTTGTGTAATCAAGTGTTATTATTTAAGCCCCTGGAGTGAAGAGACATACACAGCAGCAGCAGCAGCAGCAGCAACAACAACTGATGCAAAAGAACAATCTACAAAATCAAGTGGTCAAAACCATTATAATTTGCTCGGAAATAACTGCATTCGACTAAAGCAAAGAGAGCAAATCCATTAAATGAACTCTGACGTCTGACAAAACAAGAGCAGAGAAAAGCATTTTTGGATCAAGTCAGGCAGAGAGAGAAGGAGAAAGAGAACGAGCGTAGCAGAGCAGCAACGAGTTTGAGTGCATTTCTCTTGGAAATATCGCACAAACACCATCATCAGCACTTCCCTGCAGAGACCCCAACTCAAATGACAATTGAAGCCAAAAGTCATATGTGAGAAATAATGGCAAATATGAAAAAACCACCGCTTAATTGGGTGGTGAATGCAACGACCACCAGTTTAGTTATTTTACTGTTGCAATTGATACCGTACGGAAATGGCGATTCATCATTTGGAACATTTAGTAACGTTGGTAGTGTTGGCATTTTTGTGCACGGTACAAATTTAGCAAACACAGCAGCATCAACAGCAGTTGGCAGCGCAAATGGCATCATCGGCGGCGGTACCAGCAGCATCGATCAAAAATGTCCACGCGTGTGTACGTGCACCGGCCAAACGGTTGACTGTTCACATCGGGATTTACAACAAGTACCACGGCGCATTCCATTGGATGCCGAACGACTGTAAGTACCCCCATCCCCCCTTAATTTTCAACTTCTATGTTAGAGGTATAGTGCTTGGTTAGCAGAATACACACGATTTTAAATTGAGACCTGGAAATTAGAACGGGAAACGAAAAATTGATTAGTTTACATGTGCAAAATGTTGTTTTCGCATTTGCCACAATTGTGGAAATCCGATGTGGCAAACGCGTTACATTCGCTCATCGTGAACATGTGAAAGCAAACGAGAGCGGCATGTCAAGTGTTGTTCGGCGTGATTTAATTTTTTTTATTTAAATGTCAATTCTATGATAGAAATAGAGACGATTTCCTATGCTCGATTCGATTTGGAATTCGATTCGCAATAAGAAGGATACCATTTTGAAAGGCGTTAAATTGTTTTCAAGAGATAATTCAGAATGTGTTGCAATAAATTAGTTGCGTTTGTTTTTCATTTTCTCTTCGAAAAATGACGGATTTTGCAGCGGTACAGATAAATTGTGCACACTTCGGTATTTGAAACATAAATACCGCATAATTTTGCCGTTTGCCAGCGAGAATATAAAAGTGGTTTTGGCAGGCGAAGCGTAAGAGAGAGAGTGAGATTTTCCAAGTGTTGCATGGAACATTGTGTCATGACACACGTTAGTTTTCGGCCTGAAACAAATGCTGTATTCTCTCTCTCTCTCCCTCTCTCTCCCCTCTCTCTCGTTCGTTCACTTCGTATGCATGTGTGCTTGAAGATCTCTGCATTTACTGTCTGCACTGCGTCATCACGACGACAACGACGACGAAAAAGAAGCAAACTTCACCATAACCCATCATCAATTCACTCAGTCTGACTTTTCACATTTTATTTGCTGTTTTCTCACTTTGCACATTTTATTTATTTTTTTCTGCTGTTTTGCCATTTTCATGCGCTTCACTATTTCGTGTGTTGTTTTTTCTCTCTCTTGCCACTCTGCCTGCTCTTCATGCAAGCAAATTAATTAAATTTGCAAAATTGTGAAGAAACACGTATTGTTTGACGCGTTCTAAAATATCCATTTCAAATCTGGCGAACCTAGATTTTTTTTTCGGTGCAATAACAACAGCAACAGCAACCAGAGCACATTCAATGCAACGAATTAGAGTCAACTGAAATTGAATACAAGAAATAGAAAGCAAAAAGAAGAAGAAAAAAAATAAACCTGTCTCTGAAATTCTCCTCGGTAATTCGATACACAAATTGAAATTATTTGTTCCAACATGCACAATGCCGTGAGCTCATGCACACACACACAACCCGATGATATTGTGTGTATGCCGAAAAAACGGTTTTTGTCGTGTTCGAGGCCTCGAACCGAAACGAAGGGATCAAGAGACGGATAGAGAGAGAGAGAGAGAGAGAGAGAGAGAGAGAGAGAGAGAGAGAGAGGGGAACAAGATGCATGGAAATTAAATAAAAGCCAGTTCAATCACTTCTCGCAGTTAAGTTGTGATGAGTGCTTGTTTACTGCGTCTCTGTTCGCAACACACTTACCCGAACATGACCGAAAAAAAGAGAACGATAACGAGAGCAGCAACAACAACGCACTATACACACTCAGTCATTCTAAATAGAAATTGAAATCGAAACTTCTTCCGCTTGACAAACAGAGAGAAAGAGAGACCGAGTCTGGATACAGACTCTTGTCGATATGGCTAGTGTACAATTGTCACAACTGAAACTTATTTCCAAAATGTGTGTGAATGGAAAAACGGGGACGTTTGGGCTTGGTTTTGTTCTCGCTTTTATTAGTTTTCAGTGGTCGTTTCGTATCGTTTGGTTTGGTTGTGCACCTCAGCAACTTGTGTCTCGAAAATTATGTAGATTTGGCAATGTGTTTGTTAGAAAAGCGGCCGTGTTCCATGCATTTGGTGTCGTCTTTTGCCGTCGCTCGTTTCAAAATGCTAATCCATTTTTATTGTCCCATTCAAATGGCCCGAAAATCATACTGGAAACGCCAGTTGAAATTCGAAATTAATTTTCATTTCTTGTGTGAGTGTGTGTATTTCGGATACAAACTATATACACGCTTTTTTTTCTGCCTTCCACAATGACATTGTGTCCCATTCGCTCCACATATGTGTAGCTAGATGACGGAACATGAACGAGCAAGCGAACCGAACACACACGGGATTGCGGTTTGGGTGGCTGTGTGGCAAATACCGAGTGCATTTCGAGTGCGTGTGTAAATTTAATAAAATGCGTCATGGGTAGAGCATATGTGTGTTTGTTGAGGATGCTAGTCTGAATGTGTCATTCACAAATCACTGTAACAACCGCATCACATTTTCGTTACACTTCACACCAACAGCGCACACCACTATTGCCGCTGCCACTGCCGCCGCCGAACACCGACCACAAAACTCTATAACAAAAGAACTCGTACAATTCATTTGTGCGGTGATTTTATTAATAAAATATATAGTAATATATTTTCTCTGAGTTTGAAGAGCTTCGCACAGCGAGCGCATTGAGTGCCGCTCCTTTTTCATTTCGAAAATGGCATTTATATTAGATTTTTAATATTAAACTATTTAGCATTGCATTGGCTGAGGGCATGAAATTTATCATTAGCACGGTTGTCGCGTCGATATGTGATTTTACCCATTGCCTTTGTGTGTATGTCGTTGCTCCGGTTGCTCTCATGTTCTCGATATATATATACATGTACATATATGTTATATATTTGCATTTCTGTGATGCAATACAACTGAGTGTCGGCCGAGCACAGATGCTATCTCGCTGAAATCGATTTCTCTTTTGACGAGAACGTGGCAACAAAGAAAGCAAATAAATTTTTAATGTAATTTCATGGTTTTGAACATCTCTGGCCTGCCATTCTAAACCGGCGCGCGATAAAGTGGCCAAGATAAAACCGAAGTGAAAAAAAAACAAACACCAAACAAAATCAATGCATAGACTCAACAACCAAACGATAGACACCAAAAAAAAAACGAAGAGAATGTTAAAATGACGTCCATTATTTTTCGATTAAACGAAGAGAGGAGAAAAAAAATTGAAACGTCACACGGCTATCGACCATTTGGCTTTGATACATTATTCACGGTGCATTTCATACAGATAATTAACGATGCACCGATAATTGATGGATGAATTGTCATGTTTTTATCTCGGTTGAAGAGTGAGAGAGAGAGAGAAAAAAATTAAATAAATAAACAACAACTCAGTATTCTCAGTTTTCTTTTTCACTCATCAAACAGCAATCTGTTTGACATTATAATCTGCATACGATCAACAAATATCGATGCAAGGGAAAATAAACGGCAAAAAACGTTACGCTTTGTGCCGATTGAAAGAGAGCCGAGCGATAATATCTATCGCGCTAGGGATATACAAAGAAGAAGGAAAAAAACAACAACAACACAATTTGGAGACCGACACAAAGCATTGAGTGTCCGTGCCACCGCCGTGCGGACTTTGAATGAGCGAAGCAATCGCCACACCAGTGAAGCCAAATGGATTTTGTAGAAAAGCGAATTCCGTCTGTCGCATTGAATAGGCACACTGGTGAAAAATTGAACGTTGTCGGATATGTCAAATGACATTTGCCAATCAGCCGATTGACCACTCGTTTTCTTTAATTGCCGCTCTGAATCTCTCTCTCTCTCTGTTCGTATCTATCTCTCTTGTTTCAATCTCATAACAGAAAAATCAACTCAATCCAATTGTTTGGAGCATTTCCAATTGGTAGCAAACATTTTTCACGTCACCGTCGAGAGTGAAAATGAATCGAAAACCACCGATTGAGCGACAAAAGAGTGAGCTAGCGCGGGGAATGAAAAAAGTGCCAAGCGGAATTGCAATGAAGAAGTCATCAGCACATTCAATTTGCCGCAGAAATAAATTGCAACGGACATTTTGTGAAATTTGAAGAGAGAACCGATGAAAAGTGGCGCAATTTTCTCTTGTTTGTTCTGGTATAGAAATTGGTTTTTCATTAAATTGTCAATGGGAACGGAACAAGCTGGGCACCGAGATTCAATTTATAAAACAAAGTGATTGTGTTGGTCGCGCGCGCGTTCGCATGACACCAATCGCACTCGATATTTGAACGTTTCTTTTCATAATATCATTTTTTATTGTTCGCACGCTATACAAGTTGGGTGTCGGTTCGATGGCATCGCCACTCTCGAGCGAGATTCATCGATTTAAATAGAAATCGATATGAAGCATTTCGCAAAAAAAATACAACAACAACAACCAACTCACATAAAAGCAGCGTCACTAGCAGCAGCAGTAATATAGAGGAAAAAATGACATTCACGATGCGAACAAATTGCATTGGCAGCAAGCAACAACAAAAACAAAAACACACCGATCGAGTGCGAGACCGAGAGATACAGCAAATAAATTCAAATCATAAACACCGGCAGCAATACACAAGTGCAAAATTTCAGTTGAATAACCAAAGCAAAATGGATGCATATAAATTCCCTTTTATGCACGTTGATCACACGTTGGACTCTTGCTCTTTTGGATTCCTTTTTGAGAGAGAGAGCGAGAGCCACAGAGAGAGAATCAGGACGTTGATAAAGTTATTCGGGCTTGCCGTTTCTTTTTCTTTTTTTGGGTGAATGCTTAGCCAAGGCTCTCTCTCTCTCTTTGCTATTTACCATTTTCAATCAACGGCGCGTAATTTTTTTCTCGTCGTTCGTTCATTCTGTGTTTGTTGGATGTTTCATTTTGTCCCGACATAGCATATAGTCGTTTTCCTACACATTTCTTCATTCCATCGCTATAAAAAAAGCACAACGACGACGAACGTTGGAATTTAAAACGCCCACAATTTATCGATTTACGGTCACTCAGTTCTCTTATTATCGTCGTACGACACGCATCGCGACCAATTTCATGTAAGTGTAATGCATGTGCACGGCGAGAGTTTACTATTTACTCATTTCGTGTTTCATTTTTTTTCTCTTGCTCGCTCGCTCTCTGTGTACAATTCCTTTAATTTTGGTTTTTTGTTCGT